CCACCTTTAACTGATATTGGTAGTGATAAGACAAAGATTCGTGACCAAATGAAATAATTACAATGGTTTGGTGATAACAGTACAGTTAATTGGTAAACAAAAGAAAATTCTGCTGCAAGACTTAGTATTTCGTGATTTTGATGGTGCCTGTCGATTTTCCTACAAACTCTTAGATTAATAACATCTTCATTTCACTGTAATTCATTACAATGAACACATTTATAACGAATTTAAATACCAAAGGTTTTCCTTCCAAAGGTTCGTACTTCGGGCACCAACAATCACAGATTCTGAGGATTAACAATTCGAGGGACGATAAAATCGGAATTCCCTTGGATCATCTTTTTCAGCGATTGTAATCGACGACATAACTTTTTTTGGCTGTACCAGAAAATCTGATAGTATGGAAGACTTGGGCAAGCTGCAAATGGAATATTAATGCACCTAAACGGAATAATATCACCAAGTCGAGATGATCAAAGGGTAGGAAAAAGATTCAAACCACTATCAAATTTTATTAAAAATAGATTTAATTCAATTCGTTAATCCTTATTTATAAATATCAAAAAGAAGTGAATCGCGCAACGAACATGTGAAATTTGACCAAACCTTTTCAACGATCTATATGCCGAAATTTCCATAAGAAGGCTTTCTTGTTCCAAAACATTTCCGTCAAAATCATTTGTCCCAGGAGAATAATGATAACCAGTATCCTTCAATCATATGTCGGGCTTTTCTCGTCGACTACTAATTGATCTACAGTTTCCTTCGGCTCAAATTGTTGTCTGGTTTTATATGACCATAACCAGTATCAGCGCTGAAAAAATGAACATAATAAATGAAATGAGACTGTAATACATCTTCCAGAATGTCAATCGATACCAGATAAATAAGAATGATAAGGGAGGAAATGGGGGAAAAAAAAAGAAAAACATTTATATCTTCTCTCTTTGTTACGCTTTTACATGCAATATGTTCTTTTTTTTTTTGAAAATTTCTACCTAATAAGAAAATAACATTTTAATAGTTTGGATAGCCCTATCTGAAGAATATTTACATCGCTTACAAATAATTATCCACTAGAAATGTCTAATATGAAGAAGTGAAATACTTCCTATCTTTAAAATACCCTCTAACTTACTAACCTAATACTTCATTATTTTCTGCATAATTGAGATTTTTTTTTAATCTATGTAAGCATTACTCTTAAAAATAACCAATTTTGGCGACCTGAAATTAAACAATTTTGATTTCTTCGAATGTAATAGAGAATATCTCTTTCAACTATCTAACGATATATTACTATTTCCCCCTCTTTAGAAGGTTAATACTATTTCGTATAATTCTCTCAATCATTGTCACTTTTTTCAATCCCAACATTATACATCCAATTCTCACATTCTCAATTTTTGCTACTATTAAATATCTCGAATTCTTACACTATACATCAATGCTATTATCCAAAATCTTGTCAACCCCTCGTTTCTCTCATATTATTATATTATCACTGCTACTTTCAATCTCTGACCAAGACAATCACATTACCTCTAACTTCACCTCCCTTATATCCTCAATCCATACACATATATCGTTTCGCTGTTGGCATAACGTTCGTCATTAGCAAATCGATCCATTGTAATGTACCGTATCCCGAACTTTCGTTGTAATAATCAATTGATTTCAAAAAAAGTCAAAACTTATTAATGGAATTCACTGAATAATATTGCATTATATTATTAATCAATTTAGTATATAATTCGATGAATTTCTCCTGGATAGTAGGAAATCCCGGGAAGGTAATGGGGATAATTGCATATTTCTTTAACAACTGTTTCTACCAATCGTTCAATTATGCCAAATTCCCTGATCAATGTACTGATATTACTACACGGCATTCTTTGTTTTCTTGAATTGTAATCACATCTTTTAATTCGTACAAATCATTCTTTAATAAATACATTAAACTTTGTACTTTGGGAAATTTTATCTTTAACGTTCCGAGATTTTATCGATAAAACAAATCAATATTAGATCTCGTAAAGGTTTTTGATAAGCTTAAATAGCATTATTGGCAAGCATTGAAGTAATTTAAAGACCTGAAATATTAGAATTTTAGATAATTGAATGAACTTATTATGGGATTGCACAAACTGAATGAAATTGAATGGAATATTCATGATTACTGTTGCATGTACATATTCTGCTTACTACTAAATTAAATTGATGATTAGATGAATTTGTTTGGAATTGTTCACCTCTAAATGTTTTAATTAAATTAAATGGAATAAATTATCGTTAACATATCATACTTGCTAATTTCAATTGCTTCTTCGTATTATAATTTTCTTCTTTCTCTTCATATTGATCTGTTATCACTTTTCACTTACATTTTACTATTCTTAGTTAGGCTAAATTGTGTCATATTTTAATTTTGAGTAAGGCATAAATTAAATAAAATAAAATATTCAAAATCTGATTCTCAACCATAATGCTATATAAACAAACGAAAATAACTTTTCGTTTTGACCTTTTCATTTATTAATTCATACATATCTCATCCTACCACTTCCATTTTCTTTTATCAACTACAACTAAATTTTAAAAGAAATTTCACTTCTTTTATTAAAATAAATTAAACTGAATTGAACTAATTTGACTAAAAATGAAAATTAAATTGTAAATATCAAATTTTACTATAAATTAGTAAGTTATTATAAAATATTGCAGGAACGGCAATTATAAACATTTTAATGAAATCAATGTAGCACTGCAAGAAAAGAATGCATTATCAAAAGAGTAAATTGTTAATTATGAACGTAAAGCAAACAATTTGTATTGTGCTTTACTGAAATAATTAAAAGACAAAACAAATTGTGACATTGGAATACGTGGAGAAGGATCACTAATGGTAGGTAATAACTGAAGCTCAACTAGTTCTTTAAGGTCAAAGTGCAATGCAACTAATTGTATTTTGCACCATGAAACTTGCAAATGTCATACGACATGTCAAGTAATATCTTGCGGTAATGCAATCTACCGATGAATAATTGAAAGAACAACAACAGAACTCAACAATTATAACATCAAAAAGAAAATTCAATGAGATATTAATAACAAAACAAAAAAAAAAAACCAAAATAACGTGCGATATCATCTGTTCAATCGATCTCGATGAAGCACATCTTTATCTTTAGGAATGAACAGGATAGGAACGATTAAAAATTGTTCAAAAAGAAAATTCTACCAGAAACATTCTCGATTGATAAATTTTGTTGGTATCATCTGCGGACAATTAAATTATCATCCCAAAATCTCGACTGATAAATTTTATTAGTATCATCTACAGAGAGTTAAATTATCATCCCAAACATTTAGTTTTTCCGAATATTTAGTCTTAATATTTTGACAAAATATTTCATGCTATATGAATAATACCCGGACAATGCTACAAGAGCGCAGTATTCTTTACACTCCCGGCAAAAAAAAAAGCTTGGACGAGAGGTTAAGACAAGCTTTCTTTCCTTTCTTCCGGGAAAAAATTTTCTGGTGAGAAAAGTGTAGTTGAAAAATCAACTAGAATACGGTGAAAAGTAGATCCGAGTGAAATCAAAGATTGAATTCATT